AGAGCAAATCACTTCCTGCCCCCCATCTGACATTCACATGTCATCCAGGTCATGTGACTACAACCCAGCAATTAAAGCAAATGAGAACACAAAACTTTTAAATTGTATTTTATTAACACTTTTATCACAAAATTTTAAATAAAACACTATTTAATTTGATTATAATAACCTTACAAATCTTGAAAATGGGTAACAAAAAGAGAAAGTAATTTAAAATGTGGAGCAAGTGAGAAATAACTGTTTTTTAATGAATGATTACAAATTAAATGTACAAGTGTAACATAAAATATGAACTAGACTTATTCTTAATCAGGACCTGAGCAACCTATTTGATCTTTTCTAGATTTTTAATTAGCAAAAGTATTAAAGCAACCATGCAGAGCAAATACGTTTTAAACCGGATAAAGTCAAAGGTGTTATTGATCATTGCTGTTTCACAACTACAAAAATGCTTTTAAAAGCAAGGCTATCCAGTTAAACCATTCATTCTTTTTAATGCAAGGACACTTGAAAATTATTTGTTGTTATAAGTGGGCGTGAATGTACGTACAGGGTGAACGTCTAATCAAGGTTCTCAAAATGTCATGAAGGCAGATTTAAAAAGAATCACAGAATGAAAAAATCTGCATAATATGTTCCCAAAGGTAAAAAAAAAAATGTCAACAAAATGTCATTAGCTGTTAACTACCACATGTGTTTGTTTACCTACGCAAAAAGCCAATGGGTTGATAAGGGTGACATCATTTGGTAAACAGAAGTCTGACTATTTTTATGCATTGTTGTTTGCACTTCGATATGTTGAGCAAAGTAAAATGCAAGTGCTTTGTTTACATTGAGTGCATACCTGCATTTCAGAAATGCATATCGGCAGTATTGTACATCTGGGAAACTACTGGATTAAACTCGTTCAAACTGCACCATTTGATACAGTTCAGAATAACCTTTTTTAATGTTTGATTTCATAGTTTGCAATGAGTACACACAAATTGATGATAATGTGGGAGAGTCAGAGAATATTCACATCGTAATTCACGAGCAAATAATCTCACCTCAGAGTAACTTCAGTGACATTACTCCGCAAACACCCACACAACTGAATTAATTTCCCCTCTGGGGGACAATAAGGTTAATAAAACTAAAACTAAAATGAAAAATATTAAAAATACAAAAAGAAGAGCTGCATCTTAATTTGAGTGACAGGGACAGAAAGTTCAGTGTTAAAATTGGAAAGCCATCCAGGAATGAATCTGGTGAAGGCCTAAACACTTATCTGAAAGCATAACTTCAGCTTTTGGTCACACTTAAACGTTGGTTTTTAAATATGAATAAATTGAATTATGTGGAAAAGTATAATTAAACGGTGACAACAAAAGCAGTGGTAAAGTTTAAGTATGACAAGTCATACTTTGTTGCTGAATGGTCGACCAGAAATGTTAGGTTTTCAAGTCTGAAAATGTAAAATACTATACTGGTGCTGGTCATAAAATTAGAATATCATGAAAAAGTAGATTTATTTCAGTAATTCCATTTAAAAAGTGAAACTTGTATATTATA